CAGCTTGTGTGTGAGTCTCTGGCAGTGTGGTCGGTACACCTGAAAGCGCAGCTGAGTGTTTGCGCTCAAAGGCTGTGTGATCAGCTCCAGAGACGACAGCCGTCCTGCGCTCAGAAAACTCAGTCCTGGGAACAGCAGCAACTGCACACAAGCACACGCGCGCGCGCACACACGCACACACACACACACACACACACACATAAACAAGTCAACATCACCAAACCAAAGCTCAGCGCAGATCATACAATAATCACCACAATGTCGGTCCAAGCTGGTGTATATTTCTGTATAGAAGCGAAAGAAAACAAAAACACATATACATAAATATTATATATATCCCATACCAAAAATAGTTTCATTTAAAGTGCAAAAAAGCCAAAACTAACAGCAGTTATAATGTGCACTACATTGACAAGTAAATAGAATTAGGTTTGTATTTTCAATCAATACCAGATGGCATGCTGAGTAAAAGCAGGTACAATTTACTACAAAATGGTCCATTTAGGGTTCTGTTCGCACATACTGCAGTGTTACCGTGGCTGCAAATGAAACACACTAACCTGCGGTCATCAGGATTACTGAAACTATGAGATAACCTCACGGCCTCAGACTCAGATATGATTTGTTAATGACAGCTAAAAGCACCTGCAGTAATTACAGTAATTGGATGTGCAGTTTTATTGATGTCACTAAATCGCTAAATTCATTCACCTTCATATTTTTTACACCCATTTTGTATTTTATTGTATCTTACAACATTACACTATAAATTATTTGAGATCATTAAATTTGATTAAATTCCTAGAATTTGTCTGGGTGAAATTACAAATAAAGTTAATTATAAAAATAAATAAAAATGTATGCATGTATGTATTGATTGATTGATTATATTTTCATTTGATTAACTTCCTAGATTTTGTCCTGGTGAAAATACAAATAAATTTAAATTTTTTTTTTAGTGTATGTATGTATTTATGATTATTCGTTTACTGCATTTTATACCAAAAGATACACAAAAAAACTTTTTACAACATTACAATAAAAACTACAGTATATAAGATCTTTAAATTTGATTGAATTTCTAAGATATTTCATGGTAAAAATACAAATAAAGTATATATTTTTTAAAATTACAATAAAAGTATGTATGTAATGTATATATGTATGGAGTGATTGATTTAATGATTAAATTTTTACCCCAAAAGATACAAGCAATAAACAAATGGGCTTCTTATTTCCTAACTTTATAAGATTTTTAAAATTTGATTGAACGTATATAATTTTTCATGGTAAAAAATAAAAAATACATTAAAAAAATTATAATTAATATGTATGCATGAATTGACTGATGGATCGATTGATTGATTGAAATGTACACCAAAAGTTACAAACAATACACAAACAGGCTTCATACAACATTTCAATAAAAATAATTTCTCTTGGTGAACATACAAAAATACAGTTAATTTAAAAACCTCTTTTCGGATCTATACAAGTTCTGAAGGAGTGTGTGTGTGTGAGAGAGTGTGTGTGTGAGAGTGTGTGCGTGTGTGTGTGTG